GATTCTAAAGTATTAATATCATGAAAGGGGAGAGTGTATGGGGCAGGATAGGTATAGCAAGAAGGAAAATTTGGTAATAAACTGCAACACCCAAGTTACTCAGGTGAGCGATGTGGCCCAGGGCGTCTTGTTATGCATTTCTAATGAGCATGAAATAGGGCTAGGATTTAAGATCGAAGGAATGAAGTGCCATAGTATTAGAACCTGTGTGAAAAGGAATGTGAAAGTGATGGTTATTTTAAAATTAATGTATGTCACTCGTTAGCATTTTAGACAAGTAAGCGCAGACCCTCTTCAAATCTATTTATAAAAAATCAAATGTTTATAACATATCTAATTTTAACAATGTTAATGTTTTAACATTCAACGAAAAAAATGCTAAAAAATCTACAATTAAGCAAGATTTATTAGGGACTATTTCTTGTGGTGGAAGGATGTTTAGCAGAAAATTCTACATATCTGCACATTTATCAAATTTAATATCTTGGATCTTTAGCCTCACATACTTTTACTCGGAGAATATTTTCCAGTATGATATTGCTTTGAATATTTGATATTGGTCTTAGTTTATATTTTTATAACAAGTTTTACACCTTCCTTCAAGAATTTTTGCCAAAAAAAATGGAAGATATGTCAAATAAGTCTATAGATAAAATTTTCATCGTTTTCCGCCTGAAAATGGCATATTTTGACCCATATTTCAAAATTAACATCACTGACCCCAACTTTTTCTTTCATTATTTTAAAGTACTCGATACTTGTGACTAATCACCACTGAAGTCGTAAAAAGCTTGATTTAAGAAAATGATTTATCCCTATTCAGTTTTATAATACCCCAAAATATGTTATTTTTTAGTGCAAAAAGGTCACAAAATACTTTACGTGCATTAATTTGCAAGATTTGTTCAATGATAAATATTATTCAAAGTATTTTACATAAAATAGAATCATATTTATTGCGATTGTTACATCTGATAAAATATGATAAAGGTTAAAGTAATTAATTAAAGATTTGAAATCTAAGTGCAAAAAGGTCAACTTCATTGTACCGTAGATCAGTTAGATGAACACTGGCCCATTATTTTTTCTGCGATTTTGAGTTACTCTATTTGAGTACTTATCCAAAATATACTTCTCAAAAAATCCTTGATTTAACAAATTTCACGAGTGACATACCTTAAGACAATGCATCAAATAATAAAAACCAATTTATTTTGCAGATTGAATGTTTACACTAGCCAAAACCCTTTTCCCTAAAAGAAACACCATTTTATATCTAATAAAAAATAAGATGCCTGACCGTAGGTAAGCATAAAAGTAACATTTCTTTCTGTTTCTGCCTCTCTGTCTTTCCCTCAATCTTCCTCTCTAACCTTATCTCAGTCCCTGTGTGTCTCTCTATTTCTCTCATTGTGTCTATTTCTGATTCTCTTTCTCTGTCTGTCTCTCTCTTTCCCTTTTCCTCTCTCTATTTCTCTTTCTCTGCCTCTCTGTATCATTAAAAGTAAGCATTGTAAAACCATTGCTTTGAAACAAATGTTTCTTAACAAAGTTAACATAAATTTATTGTAGTTCTAGCAGTACTAGCAGAACCTATAATATTGGGATTACCAAAATGCAAGGTATTTCATTTGAAATGAATAGGTTTTTTAAATATAATCCACAGGTACAGGGATAGGTCAATAGGATACATAAAAAATATTTAAATAAAGTATCAAGTTTGTCAGACTTAATCTGTTTCCAGAGGTCTGTGCGTTGCCCTGTGCGACAATCATATCGGTAGATGATTTTAAATTATTATGCTACTTTGTTTCATAAATACATTTTTCTAACATACCTATTTATTGAACAAGCTGAGGTATTTTATTCAAGGTGCAGAGAGATGACCGTAATCATTTTGTAATGTGTATTGTATTTGTTTCTTAATGTAAAAAAGCACCCATTCCATTAAAATGGCTGTTCGAGCCACTGAACTCTGATGTGAACATTAAGTTTATCAACAGATTATATCTTGTTTTAAAATCAGTTTTGTACAGAAAAAATAGTTAATCATCTTAATTGTTCTTAACACAAAAAAAAAATGATGCACGGATTGATAAATATTTTTTGACTGATTTTGATTTGAAATGGCATGAATAATAAATCCCAGAAATATAAAGATCCTTGGTGCTTAAATATCTATAATGGGTGCTTAAATATGCATAATGCCATACAAATATTTGAATTTCTAATTTTTAATTTATGACAAAATCTTATATAATTCTCCACTATACTTTGTAAATATTGTTCAGATTACGAAATGAATTGGAATGTAAATCCATAAGAACTATTGCGATTTCCGAAAATAAAGTTTTCTTTTCAATAATTACCCTTCTCTTTATCAAGAATACATAAGTTCCTGTGAAAAGTATACAAGTCTACAAAATGTCAAAATGATAATACATCTCCATATGGAGGAACATGTAAACGAGGGTGAGTATGATTTTGATGAATTTGTTGACAGTAATTCTCTTGCTTTATGATACTAAAGGTGATTCCACCCTAACAATTTTATAGGTTCAAAGAACAAAAACTGCATTTATTTTCATTCAATATACTTTAAACTTTCCATTTATTGCAAAAAATGTATAGGTCACCATGTTATTTAAGATGCGAAACATAAATAAACAGAAGTGTATGTCAACATGAAAAAATCGCACTTTTTTATAAACAGTATTATGAAAAATATGTAAAAACTGGTTAAAAATGCATAATTCTGATGCTGAGAGTTCCTAAATACTTCCTACTTAAAAGATACTTTTGAATTGTGAATATCAGGGAAACTATTTTACAATAAAGCAAATGCCAGAATGAAGAGACCTTAGAAGGAGTTATTGCCCTTGTCAACATTTTTTAAAGATTGAATAATTGATTAAATATAGAAAATATGCATTTTTAAAATTCTTTAACTTATCAATATTTATCATTACACTTATTGTAAAGCATTCTTCCAAGAGATATTGTTCTATAAGGTATGAATTTAAACTAATTAAAGTTTTTGCAAAGACCTATGACATCATAGGAGGGTGGAATTACTTTAATGGCTTTTAAATATAAATTATGTTCCATTAAATTTACTGTAATAAACCAATAAACTTCTGCATGAATATTCTTTGAATTAACTGAATACATTTTCATAAATTGGGCTTTGGTGATATATACAGTAATAAAATATTTTTCGCACTTTATACTTCTTCGAGCCCAGATTACATTGGACCATCTCATACGTGTTCAAATCTAGAAGATAACATTAAAAGAATGAACGTTACTGCATGTACTGTTGTCATTAATATTTTCAAGCATATTAAATATTTGTTTGTTTGACTGTTGATCTTAATGTATATTATTTGGTACTTATTTATTGGTACTAAGATATGAAGCAGTTTTTCTAAGAATGGCTACATGTGTATTTCAAATAAAAAAATGTCAATCTAATATACATGTAATCAACTAAAGATACCTGATGGAATTTCTAGAATAAATAGATGCATGATCTCATTTCTTTTTCTTTTTATCAAGAATGCAGTAGCCATGAATTATCCAAAAAGTTTTTAAGCCTAGAAGTCAACCAAGGGAGCCTGTTCCCTAAAATTAGTATAATTACTGAAGGTATATATTCTTTGATTTCTTTGTTGACTACAATCCTCTTTTTATTTGATACTTATGAGTCTGTTCTTCCATATATGACCCCTGATGTTCTTAATATTGCTATAAAATGCCATTAACCGTTCATGTAAAATAAAACTTTTCATATCTTTACAATATTAAATTTTGGTGGAATTAAAAATGTGAAATAACCATTCAAGTAATGCAATGATTATTTCGGACTTCATTTACACGTTGTTGAATGAATTTGTACATTATCTTATTTCCTCCCCCCCCCCCCTCCCTCTTTCTATATCAAGAACACACAGTTTCAAGTCTAAGAGATTACCAGATAATTATCTGTTTCCTAAAGATGGACAATTATATATACAGTAATACGACATTATATGATCACCCGGCGCTGTCGCCCCTAAGTTTCATGACGTCCGACAACGTCATTATTTTTCAATGTCGCCTTTTCTACATCCTACACTTATTTTGATGAGATTCCCTAGAGCTGAGTAAGGACTTCAACCCGTCTTGTTTTTATGACTTGACAATGTCATTGACAGCAACTTTCAATGCACATATTATTGCAAATGGATTTATACATTGGGAGAGATCCTCGCTTGATTGTGCCAGCATTTTGCTTTTTGGAGTTCAATATAGCTAAAACACATGATCAACGTCATTATTTGATGTGATAGAGTTTTCAAACCTTGATTACAAATAGACATTTACTTTGTAACCCTATTCTCTTTTAGTCTATCTTGGCATTAATAAAAAAGTAACGTGGATGCAAATTATTTCTCTTTAGCCAGTTTAAACATTCTTAGGTGTATACCAGTTTTTCCAGGGGCAAACCTTTATAGAAAGTTGGAAAAGGAAACTCCTCTCCCCTTTTGACGTCATTTTCAAGGCAATATTTGTTTGCATACTCCAAGGTAAAAAATCTATATTTTACGGAACAATAGTGTCCTAACACATACCTGAATTAATGGGATATTTGGATGTCAAATTTTCATATAAAAATTATTCATCTTATTTACACTTAGTTCGAAAAAAACGTCGTTTTCGAGGTTTCGCCACCTGGACATACCATTGCTAACAAAAACTTTACTAATGTATTTTTTTAAAATTATGATTTCTGGTTCATTCTTTAGATAGAAATGATGACGGTTACTACATATTTTAAATTTTATTGACGTACCTAAAGCGGTTTTAATTTTATGGCGCTAGTCCACAAACTTTTTGATAGCCCCTCGTATATATGAAAATAATTCTAGATTTTAGTTAATTTTATACCGATATAGTATACTCAAAGAATAATTAAAATAGATTTATAATTTATTAGATCACAGATGTGCTGAGTTTAACAGAAAAGCAGGCATCATCGTAGAAAGTTATGCTAAGAAGTGTGACGATTCCTGTCCATTTAAATATAACTCTACTGAAGCGTACAAATGTATGTTTTATTGAAAATAATCACAATTTAAAAAAAAATCTGCTCAAACGTCCTTTAAAGCTAAGACCAGTGCATCTATCTTTAAATACAAAATGTTATATACAAGCGATTTAATTTTGTATCTGTAAAAAATACCAGTGAAAACTCTTATAAATATGAATAATGAAGAATTGACAAAAGGTATACAGATAAATTGCAATGTAAATACAACCTAATTACACGCACAACAAATTACGTACAGTATTCCTTTTTTGTTAGTCATCATTTAGAATTATTTAATTTTTCTTTTTTAAAATGATCTTATTCTATCAGATCAAGTATGTTATGAAATGGCCATCGCACATCAAATTACTTACAAGTCAACGGACCATACGGACTCTTCTGATTTCATCGGTTATACCTATACCATGAAAACAATAAGGTAAAGACTGCAAATTACATCAAACATTTTAAATACTCTTACTTTGGACATAACTTAAAACATTAGTACTGGGACCTTCATTATTCACAGTAGTATTCCATATGATAAGGAGTTCCTTTGGATATTTACACTTTTGACACTGACAACATTCTCTTGGAAAACCTTTACCTTGACAATTACTTTTGAACAGTTTGTACTACACTCTGTAAGGCTTTGATATTCCGCATATATATTTCTAATGACGAGGCATTTGCCTGGGTACCTTCAATTTGATCCTTTGACCTTAATCTTGGAGTTTAATTGACCCTCACTTAAATAAACAGTTATCATTTGCAATAACTATTTAATGGTTTGATCTTGAAGTTTCATATTTCACAGGTTTATTCATTGAGAACAAAAGCTTTCTTTTAGTAGCAATATTTTCCGACCTTGTCTTAAGAGTTAAACTTGCATTTGAGAAAGATAAAACTTTGCCAAAACCTGTCATATGGGGGCATATGTATAACATATGTACTCTAACTAAAATTTGAATGCAAAAATGTCCAAAATATATTGAATGGTAAATCTGTTGTCCACTTTAAACATGCTAGAAAATGTCCAAAAGAAATCGTGGATGAAAACAAAACTAATTAAATAAAACGATTTTGAAATTTGCAGACCAACAATGATGACGGAAGACACTTGTTCAGAGTCCATATTTCACATCGTAATAACAATACTTGCTCTGCTTCTTATAATATCCTTGGTTCCTAATGTATGGTTCTTGATCAAGTATAAACGAAAAATATATAGAGAAAAAAAGCTTAAAGGTCAGTATAATAATGTTTGTTTATTTTACACATATCTCTTCTCAACTCATTTAATACGGATCGATCAATCAATCATGCTGCTCTTGTATTTAATTTATACACATTAAATTTGATCTGAAGAATTCCGACTTATGATTCCTCAATTATATAAAATTATATATTCAGTATTTGAAATAACAATGAAATTGAAAATTGTTTAATCTTTGCACATAGATGGATCCTTTTCAAATAATATACTCCCACCACTAAGAGAAGTAAACGACAAGGGTGAAAGAACAGAGGACTCAAAAAAATTAACAAAAGAAAAGGGTAACAGCTAACACTCATACCAAATCCTTTGATTTATTACAATATCGGTCATATGTAATAGTTTTTCTTTCTTTTTTTATCAAAAGCTCCAGAAAGTATAAGTATAATTTAGGAAACAAGACTATAACGATTGCATATTGGGAGTTAGTAATTGCTAATGGCAAACTTTAAGATTGTTTATAAAGTTTAAGAAAAACCGGAATTCATTTACACGTTGTTATATGACCTTGTACGTGTATCTAATTTTCTTCCTTTTATATTAACACACAGTTGTAAAACAAAAGTTACCAGATAATTCTTCCTTCTACATGTATATATACAGTAATAAATAAATTTTTGGCACTTATTATTTCTTCTTCGAGCCCAGATTACATTGGACCATCTCATTCGTGTTCAAGTCTAGAAGATAACATTCAAAAATGGACGTTGCTACATGTACTTTTGTCATTAATAAATTCAAACAATGTAAATATTTGTTTGTTTGATTGGTCGTCCATGATCTTAGAAGTTTTTCTAAGAATGCCTTTTTCAAACTAAATAAAACTGTCAATCTAATATTCATGTAATCAACTAAGATATCTGATGGAATTTCTAGAACAAATAGCATGCATGTCTCTCATTTTCTTTTCTTGTTATCAAGAATACACTAGCTGTAAATCATCCAAGAAGCTTTCAAACCTAAACTAGCCAAAGAAGCCTGTTCCCAAAAATTAGTATGATTATTGAAGGTATTTATTCTTTGATTCCTTTGTTGACCACAATCCTCTTTTTATTTGATACTTATGAGTCTGTTCTTCCAGATATGACCCCATGTTCTTAATATTGCTATAAAATGCCATTAACCGTTCATGTAAAATAAAACTGATCATATCTTCACAAAATTAAACTTTGTTGGAATAAAAATGTGAAATAACCATTCAAGTAATGAAAAGATTATTTCGGAATTAATAAACACATTGCTGAATGAATTTGTAAATTATCTCATTTTCACATTTCTATATATCAAGAACACACAGTTTCAAGTTTAATAGTTTACCAGATAATTATCTGTAATCTACAGTATATGAATATATACAGTCATAAATATAATTTTTCGCACTTTATATTTTTTCGTGCCAAGATTACATTGGAATATCTCATACGTGTTTAAGTCTAGAAGATAACATTAAAAAATGATAGTTACTTTATGTGCTGTTGTCATTAATATTTTCAAACAATGTAAATATTTGTTTGTTTAATCGGTCGTCCATGATCTTAATGTATATCATTAAATACGTATTAATTGGTTCTACGATATGAAGCAGTTTTTCAAAGACTGGCTATTTCAAATTAAAAAGAAACTGTTAATCTAATATTCATGTAATCAACTAAAGATTCCTCATTGAAAATTCTTGTACAAGTTGATGTATAATCTCATTTTATTTTTCTTGTTATCAAGAGCATATTAGCTGTAAATTATCAAAGACGTTTTCAAGCCTAGAAGTCAACCAAAGAAGCCTTTTCCCTAAAATGATTGTGATTACTGAAGGTAAATATTCTTTGATCCCTTTGTTGACTACAATCCTCTTTTTATTTGATACTTATGAGTCTGTTCTTATATATATGACCTCATGTTCTTAATATTGCTATAGAATGCCATTAACCGTTCATGTAAAATAAAACTGATCATATCTTCACAATATAAAACTTTGTTACAGCAAAAAGAATGTGAAATAACCATTCAAGTAATGAAATGATCATATCAGAATTCATTAACACGTTGTTGAATGAATTTGTAAACTTTTTTTTCATTTTCCCCATTCTATAGAGAACACATTGTTTCAAGTCTAACAGTTTATCAGATAATTATCTGCTTCCTAAAGATGGTCCATTTTATTTTATTTCATTGGTTAACCATGATCATTTTGTCATTGTCGAATATGTACCAAACATTTCTTAAAATCTCTTTAAAAAATTAAAAAAAGTGAAATGACAATTCATGTAATAAACATATAATTTACTCATACATTCAAACTCGATAATATTGAGTTTTAAAGTATAAAAATTGCCCCCCTCCATTTTTTGCAAAATACTGTTAAAGAGGATAAATTGTCATAAATTTTCATGCTATAAACTAAATGTATCTTTCCAAAATTTATTTTTGTAAAATGAATGTGTACATATTTCATTTTTCAAATCTAAAGTTGATTTGAGAAACTTCGGAGTATATGAACTGAATTCCATAAATTGTTGCATGAAACGTACAAGCTACGCAGTACATTTAAACTTCATTGAATCAACTTCCTCTTAGAATAAGCTTTCTGCCATAGATGTACATACGTCTCATTTCTTGATATTCCATGCACAAACAGCATTGATCTTTAGTGTATATGATCAGTATAGTCAATCAATTCTTCGAAGAACCATACGTGTTATAATCCAAAAAGTTATTATATAGCCATATGACCTATTTAGATGCATAATCTTTTTGAGTGTGTCCTCATGGAGAACTGCTTTCTTGAAAATGTTTCATCAAAATAAAGATTTCTTACAATGTTTTCTAAATCTAACTTTTTGAGAGGGTAAATACTCTTATAGAATATTGTTGTTTATGAACCTCGGTGTTATTTGAATCTCACTGGATCGGTTTTAGAATATGTATTTGCAGTACCAAATGTTAGCATGTGAAATGACAATTAATGTAATAAATTGATAATATTCTAATGCATTTAAACATTTTTGAATGAATGTGTAAATCATCTTATTTTTCCCTTTTCATCAAGAACACACAGTTTTAAGTCTAACAGTTAACCAAAGAAGATTCCTTGAAAATTTCTTTTTTCAAAAGTTGGTCCATGAAGGTAAGAATTCTTTCAATTCACCAGCACTGGGTGAAAAGTCCAGTTTCCGCAAAACTGAAACTATACTGAAACTTTGCTGAAACTTGGCGTTGAAGTTTCCCGTGTGGTTTCCGCCAGTGCAGTGTTTTATATGTGGACTTTTTTCCTTTTTTATTAAACACATGCACATGTATCTCCATAAAATTATACATTGTGTATACACACATATGATCTCGTTTTTTTCTCCTTTTTTGTCGAAAATACTTTAGATTATCTAGTGAGTTTTCAACTCTTAAATTTGCCTCCTTTTGGTTTGTTCCCATTTGACACACATTTGATTTTAAGCTTTAAGGCACAGGAAAAATGTGTGCAAAAGGGGAATTTGACCAGGTGAGATAATATCTTAATTGCTATAGCTTTATAGCAAATAGTTTTTTCTATAGCTTTACAATAATAGGTAGATGGGGTGAGATGAACAAATATGAGATGAGAATTAGACAATAGAATTAGAAATTAGACCAACAAACTTTAATTAAGTGCATAACACGATTTCTTTTTATTTCTTTACTTTTATAACAAAATAGAAATTTATACTAAATAATTCATAATGAATAGTAATTGGTTTCAATTTTTTGCAGTATCAGCTTTGAAAATTAATTTTGTTTTTCAAGAAATGGTAGTCATTTTTTTAACTGTTATAATTAATATTTAAAAAAATATTCAATAAATTCACTTAATTTTTCTTATGAATATTTATGTAAATTAAATTAATATCTATTCCTCCTGTTCATGATACATAAATAACACACAGGGAAATCCAGGTTAATCCTAACCAGAAATTGGACTATAATTGTTAACAAAACGTTTCACACCTTTTGTTCTATACTTAATTATCAAATGTGTGCAAAACGGGAACACACCATCCCTCTATCTTTAAAGTGCTAAAAAAATCGATAATTTTTTTTTAAAATTCATTATTAATTAATATTATCTATTCAAAAAAGGATTGCAATATAAATGTGTACATTCCATTTTTTTTTCAAATAAAGAATACTTTAATTGGAGTTCTGAGTATATGAACATAATTTCTTACGATTGTTGTATTTAGCGTTTACGCTATACATTCTTTCAGCCACAGATGTACATACCGTCTCATTTTTTTCTTTCTTTGTCAAGAATGCTTTGGACCATCTACTGGGCGTTTAATTGCAAGTCAGAAAGTTATCCAAATGGAAATGCGTTGTACCACCCTCCTGCAGCTGTTTGAGGATGGTAAATCTTACTTTGTTAAATTAAATTAATATTTATTACTCCTGTTCATGATATATAAATAACACACAGGGAAATCCAGGTTAATCCTAACCAGAAATTAGACTATAATTGTTAACAAAACGTTTCACACCTTTTGTTCTATACTGAATTATCAAATGTGTGCAAAACGGGAACACACCCTCCCTCTATCTTTAAAAGTGCTAAAAAATCGATAATTTTTTTCAATTCAACCTTATTGATTAATATTATCTATTCAAAAAAGGATTGCAATATAAATGTGTACATTCCATTTTTTTTCCAAATAAAGAATACATTAATTGGAGTTCTGAGTATATGAACATAATTTCTTACGATTGTTGTATTTAGCGTTTACGCTATACATTCTTTGAGCCACAGTTGTACATACCGTCTCATTTTTTCTTTGTCAAGAATGCTTTGGACCATCAACTGGGCGTTTAATTGCAAATCAGAAAGTTATCCAAATGGAAATGCGTTGTACCACCCTCCTGCAGCTGTTTGAGGATGGAAAAATCTTACTTTGTTAAATTAAATAATATTTATTACTCCTGTTCATGATACATAAATAACACACAGGGGAAATCCAGGTTAATCCTAACCAGAAATTAGACTATAATTGCTAACAAAACGTTTCACACCTTTTGTTCTATACTTAATTATCAAATGTGTGCAAAACGGGAACACACCCTTTTTCTATCTTTAAAAGTGCTAAAAAATCAATAATTTTTTTTAATTCAATCTTATTAATTAATTTTATCTATTTAAAAAAAAGATTGCAATATAACTGTGTACATTCCATTTTTTTCAAATAAAGAATACATTAATTAGAGTTCTGGGTATATGAACAGAACTTCTTACAATTGTTGTATTTAGCGTTTACGCTAT